CACAGTGTAATAATTATGAGCTCCACCGCACCTGCGCTACGATCGACACGACTTTACACAGCTCTATGTAGAGATGTAGAGACGTAGACACAGTACCGCTAATTTGTGTAGATAAATACTTTTAGAAGGTATAATTTATTTATCGTGTTTAGTTTGTTGATTTTGTGTGAGTGAACTTCGTTTACATTTGGTGTAGAGCTATTTTAATGAAGTCTACTGTTCAGGTTTAATAGGTTCATTTAATTTGAATTATATTTAAGTTCAAATGGCGATTGTTACTCGTAAAAACTCCCTATTTCGTATTACTTTAAGTGACTATATTGCAATTATGTTTATAAAGATTTTTGTGAATATAATATTCAAAAGACATAATATTTTATTCACGACATATTAGACATAATATTATTGTCTAACTACACTTAAGACTACTTAATCAAATTAAATCTATATAAGGCTTTGACTGCCAATAGAAAACTGTTGTCGGTCACCGCTGACTCCCATGGAATTTAACGTGTTAAACAAAAGATGCTTTAAACTGTCAAACACCAAGCGGTCACCGGTGACCGCAACCTATTGTTCTATAATTGTGTCTACAAAACCGGTACTCGACGAGTTAAACGCTATTTTGGATGTAAACTTTAATTTCAATTTCGCGTGTAGTCTAACTTTAAGTTTCAAGTCTGTTATTACTGGACACAATTATTTAACGAAAAGGCCCACGCAGTTACTGACCACAAAATTGAAAGCGGTCAAGGTTCCAACAATTAAAGCCTCAATCAATCAAGCTAATAATATAACGCGGTTTGTACAGTTACCCGCAAAATGTTTTACGGATACAGTCGGTTATAAAAGTGCTTTTTTCTCCATATTTACAGAAATTATGATTTTTATTGCAATATATTATTTTACTAATTTATCGTAATTCATAAATCACAAGGAAGATTTTTAGAACCTGTAATTATATTGATATCAAATTTGAACAGTACCCATGACATACGAACGTATAAAACGTAAAATTTTACCGATTTCAAAGAATTTCAAACTGATGCAGATATTTTTTTGCAAATATTTAATTACCTTTTGTAATATTTTGTACTTTTCAATGTATTCCGGTATTTATGATACGTTGAAACTAAAGACTTATGAGAAAAACTTACATTCTGTTCTTAACTGTACACTTAACTAACTGAACTACTCGTAGCCTACAGTAGCCTAAACAAACAGCGTACTCAAATGTTTTGTTGTTAGAAGGCTAGAGCAAACAGAACCTTATAGCGTTGACTTTAAGAAAAATAATGTTTATATTTACTGAGCAGTTGTTTGCAATCAAGTTAGATGAAGAAATTTGATATACCAATGAAATATGCGTTGGATAGAAAATAGTCAGTCCAATGATATTTTTTAGCTGTAAACGTTTGACAAGAAGTGGTATTGGTACCAATGTTTGGGCCAATATATGGAGTTGATGTTAAATTGGTTGAAAATCTTAGTTCAAAATGTCATTTAATACCTAAAAGACTGTTACAGAAATCTTCGTAAATAGAGTATCTTACTAGAAAACTAACAGAACACCAGGCTAATACTAATAACAATTAGAAATCAGATGTCCACAGATAATAATAATAAATAAAATCTTTATTCAGAAATGTAAATGGACACAGATACAAAAATATTTCTTGGGTAAATAAAATTGACCTCACATGGTTAAGTGCCTGTACTAGGATATAATGAAAACGTTCCTTCTCGTTTATGCATCTCGTTTAAGCAAATCAAAATATACAAAAAACGTCCAGTATGTTAAAAAATGAAAAAATAACTCAAGTATCTATAAAAGTGTGAGACCAGACCGGTAATAAAATGCAGAATAAAGTATTCGGAACCTGCATGCTTGCATAAAAAAGATAAAGTAATATTATACCGAACATTATGTGCAGGACAGTCGGTGGCTCTTCTCCCCGTCAGTATAAAAAGATACTAGCAAAATGTTTTAGCTTGCTACTCGCCAGTTTTAGTAAATCCAGTATATTTAGCAACAGCTACTAGTTCTTTTAGTGAATGGCTGGCTGGTAAAATATTTATTTTGTGTTATGTATCAACGTTATCATAATACGTATACCTAAAAAGTATCATGGTGACCTGGAGATTTAAGACGCCTACTTGTTATGCATGAGGGTGGATACCTGATGGATTTTAAATATGTCAGCAACAAATACTAATGTAATTTTTGCCAAGTTATATATACTTTCTAAGATAATTATTTGAATACCTGACAAACGGTGAAAGAACACGTTGTAAGGAAACTTCGACTGATAACTTCTAAGTATAAGTTTTAAATTTCTAACTCGTGATCAAGTGTGGTGAATAATGCGTAAACCTTCTCCGTGCGAGAAGCAGTCAAGATAGATAAGCAGTGGCCACCTATAGACTGTTGACAGATGTGATGCGATATATACCTATCTTATCTTTTGTTCTCTGATGATGGTAAAGTTGAATAATTTATACTTCTTTCACTTTAAACGTCTGTACAATAGACCATTCAATTGTTATGCAACTAACATACAATAATGATTATAAAAAATGTAATATTTAATTGATAAAAGTACTAAACCAATAGAGAAAGACCAAGGTCCCTAAATTTTAGCATCAGCTGAATATGTCACCCAGAGATTTTCCAATGCAACTGACAGGAACTCAATTTTGGTTGAAATGGTTGTCAGCTTTCAGTTTCTGATTATCCGTAACAACTGTCATAATCTCATGGTCGTTTGCATGTTAATTGAGACTGACGACTAGTGCTTTTGAAATATGAAGTAAAAAGCAGTTTTGTCAGTGCTGGTTTGGTGATAGCTAATATTTTGTCTGAACGTGAGTAGGAAGATTCGATTCTAGAGCTAAGAAAAGTATGATTAGATCTGCACAAGTTTATAGTCCTGAATAAGTGCTATATTTTAAAAACATATTACAATTAAAATGTTGATTTATTTAAAAAGTTATTCTTTTTATTAATTGTTTACGTTATTCGTGTCTAAATCAAAGAACCAAGTATTAAAAAGTGAAGACACAATTAAAAACGAACTTGGCTTGTAAAATATAACAATAAATTTGAAAATTCTAATTTTCTAAAACACGACATCATTTAAATAAAGAATTTGCTCATATCCCGATTTTATATCACATTTCATAACAGCAATAAGGTCGTAAACAAACGTTTCAAATCCTGCAAACATGAATCTTAAATAATAAGAATGAAGTTATATGTATGTGTATGCATGTATGTACATACGTACGATGTATGAGCATGCATTATAATGTTATGTACGTTGGGAGAACATTTATATCGAGTATGAGGCAGAAATGTTGTATGCACATATAGAAAGCGTGTGTAGTTTTAAGTTTCGAATTTCCCTAAGACCGGGGTAGTTTTTAGTCAGTAAGAGTCTGCCACTCCCTCTTGTATCACCCAAAGGAGAAGGCATTGCATGGTTTTCCCCTCAAAAAAAAAAGTTTAATAATCGACGCAAATATCAAAAAACAACTAAAACTAAACAAAACTAAGATCCCCAATAATATTTGAAATTACTCAGCGATCAAAATCAAGAAAATTTTGTGAGCCACCGAACGTTAAACTATTCAATAAATTATCGCGTAAATAGTAATATAGTAATTATACACTTATGTTTACGTAATATTATATGCAACACACATATCTAGATCCAACCTAAGTACCTACATATAAATATCAGCTGACGCAGACGGTATAAATACGTAAGCAATGCGCAGTAGATAACGCGCGGGTATGACAAACCCAGAACCATTCAACCTCTGTCACCCGTAGAAGATTTTAAAATGAATATTAGATTTGGTTAAAAAATATATTACTATCATTCAGAACAAAAAGACTAATTCATATACTCATGTAGATAAGATATTAATTAGACAACGTCAACTTTTTTAAAATTAATAGTAGATCCCGGTTATCAATATGAATAAATAAAAGCAAAAGAGGTATATAAAAATTATAGTCATTGGCATTATATAGTTTTTACCTACCCCATGGGAGAGATACGATAAAACTAATTCAAAAAGAACTTGATAAAAGCTTTTACTTTGATTTATATTAAAATTTTCCGCTGGCCTTTCATGTTTGCAGACTGAAAGGGCAGCCAGCTCACCGATGTTATTTTAATATAATCTTTCTAGACGGGTTTCTTTGGGATTTAGTGTCCAAAGATTACTTACGATTTAGTTAATTAAATAAGACTACAAAATCTCTCAGATAAGTACTACAGAAAATATAATAGATGGTAGTTAAGTAGTCCTTTATTATTAATTAATTTAATTATGCATATATTATGAATTTGTTATAATTATTAGCGACAATTAGTTTAAGAATACAAAACCATTTAATTATCATAAGACTTTCAATCGATACGCAATAGTTAGAATATTTATTTTTTGCTCAGGATTAACTGTAATGTTAGTGTGGAAGCAAACTGAAAACAAAATTGAAATGAGTTCATGTTGAAATGTAACACGACATCGTACTTTATCGTAAAATCCTTTCAAAGTATAAGTCTTGAACATATTCAGGTAAAATAAGGATGTAGGTACTACAGCATTTATGATCGACGACTTCCCCAAAAGATTCTGTGCAACATCGTAAAATAAAATCTAGGTCACAGGAAATTCTGCCTTAACCCTGTTACGTATTTCATATAGTTTATAGATAGGCAGATGCTTTAGTACCTCCTGCGCAGGTCATGCGCAATAGAGTGATGCGCAAAAATCACCCTTATAAACAATAAACTTTTTACTTAACTTTTTAATGAGTATCCTGTCAAACGTCAACGTTCAATTCAAAATAACGACGTATCGCAAACTTTCCCCACAACACAAGCATTATCTACGAAACAAAATAAAGCGACATGGATGAGTCATTACATTTATAAATAGAACAAAACTTTAACTAAGGGTAATTTACTACAAAACTAACCACTTACGTAACGGTCAACAAAACACGCAAACGAAGATGTTCTATGAAGTATGAAAGAAGAAAAAAATAAACAAAAGTTGTTTATTTATTCGTATCGCCTATTTCCTACCACTCAACTCGTCGGGCGCGGCTGTCGGGTCGAAAAAACACTGTCATTTATCATGTGGCTGGCGATTAGGGCACCTGTAGCGTGTTGGGTGTTTTTTGCAACATGCCGCGTGTTGTGGGCCGCGGAACGGAGAGCGCGCGGTGCTTCTATCGCGACTAGGGGCACACTGAACGAACTCCCCGCCCGCTGCGATCGACCGTCGCGCCTCGGCCCCGCTCCGACTCACAAAAAGCCTTGTTATTCGCGGGACAATTAATACGATTGAGCCTTTTTCGTGAATTGCCTCTCGTCGGTCAAGTTGGCCTGAGCAAGTTTTTGTATGGTGGATTCTGAATAGTTGGTGTGACTTTGGTAACAGTATTTTCTATTGTTGCTCAATCAATTTCGGAGAGCTTCAATAACAGATGTTTAGGATTTCAAAAGGAATGCCGTTTATAATAATAAAAAACTAAGCACAATAAACTTTAACTGGTTAAAATTTAACATCGCATCTGCTAGCCACTTAAACTTTCGGCTTTTGCAGCTCTTAAAATAGAAAATTTAAAACAAGTTCTCGCGATAAAGTATTCCGCTAAAATAGGAAGCTTGTATCCATAAAATACAGCTTTGTTTCGTTATAAATGATTTCCAAAGTAAGCGCAGACTGGAATATAAATTATAGGGGCAAGCTGCCAACACCTCGCTCTATGTAAAATGTAATATTAATTTTCACACTATTGTACCTGTTGCGATTATTTTAGAGTTTGTAGGAAATGAGTCGAATGTCGAACTGTTTAATTGAAGTGCAACGAGAGGGGAAATTTGCTCGTGGAACTGCGAACGTAATGCATACATAAGTGGGTATGTTGTCTTTGATATGTTGTCGAAGTATCTCCGTCTGAATTTTAGAGAGGAATACTTCGTTGTGCTCATATATGTGGTAACTAGTTTGTGAGCGTAAGCAAGTCTTGTATCTACAATATAATAAGTGTATTTGCATGTTTACTATAATGGGAATATTGCTTAGTACCTCAATTTTAGTGTTTTATTGCTTTTTGTAAATTTTTAGCTAAGGACTACACGAAAAACTCTAGTATAATATTATTCTAGTATTACATAATAAGGAATGATGTAATAAATAGGTATCATCACAGAATAACGGACAAAGAACATATATCTTTCCAAACACACACTAGTAATTTACAATGAATATGGTGATTAGGATGAATGATAAATATTGGGTTCTGTGTATATGTTGTGTATATAAATACCAATATAAATATACACTTTCGGTTTGACATTTAGTGCCCAGAATAGGTGAACCATAGTCCCTCGTTCAACTACGTCAGATATCGCTAAAACAGTAACCACCCACACAGCAAGCTCGTGTCGACAGATTGACAAAACAGACGAAATAAATTTCAGTTATTGCAGCAAATGTTTCAGGTTTAAGTGCCTTCAGTTAACTTGACGTGACTGATGTCAAGTTGACTGGAGAAATACAATAGGTTAACTAAAAGCCTGTGTCTTAACGAATGGTTAAGTTGAACTTTATTAGTTAAATACAACAAATACAATATATGAGTTCGTCTTATAAAATCGGATTACGTGAAATTTCTGTTTTAAATTTTATATGACAAAAATTCATATTTTTTTATATTAATCCTCAAATTCCAAATCCACAAAAAGCCCGTAAGGCACTTGTAACGCCTGTGGTGTTTTGGATGTCTATGGGCGGTGCTGACGGCGCCGATTACTTACCATCAGTTGATCCGTCTACTCGTTTACCGGCTTTTTCCATAAAAAAAAGAAAACAGTGAATTGTAGATTGGACTTTAAAAAAAATATCGGTAGACAAAATTAATGATTACGTATAGGTACTATGTAAACCAATTAATTGATATTCGAAAGTGTAATTATTGTTATGTGTACACATGTGTCACTGTTTAAGATAATGATTGTTAATGAACTAGGCGTTGCAATGGTTATTAAATGTGGGAGACCCATGTTTAGCACGAATGGGCCGGCTCGACCGGAGTGATACCACGGCCTCACAGAAAACCGACGTGAAACAGCTTGCGTTGTCTTTCGCTGTATGAGTGAGGTTACCGGAGGCCCAATTACACTAATATTCATGAGAATAAACACCAAATTGAATGTCTCATTATTTTTCTCATTAACTACATAGAACGACTAAAAAATTCTATAAACTTATTTAAAGGCACATTCTCAAACTGGTTTTAAAAAAGATTGCATGTAAATACGTAGTGGCGTAGCACTCTCGTAGCCAGTAATGACCATCTCGTAGCGACTCGTAGCAGTTTCGTAGCTTTATTTACAGAAAGTTGCATGTTTTCGGTTACCACACGAATTAAACTAATCTTGCTAATGTTTACACCAAATAAATGAGTTCCAACTAGTTTCAGTTTAAACATTGATACTGCTTAAACACGTTTTGGTTAGTTGCTCTGCGGTTTTAGATGACTTAGGGCTTTTCATAGTTTCCAAATTGAGATTAATTCAACACTGAATTTTGTTGTATGTATTTAACGTCTGATATTTAGTTATTGTTCCTTTTACTGGGGTGAGGGTTTTAATTATATGAGTAGTATGAATCAATGACGACGTATTTTAATGTTACCTTTAATAAAACACATTGACATATTATAGTAACATTACTATTTATTAAAATGTAGTAATAAGCGAAGCATTGGACTTAACGATGTGGACGTAAGCTGATGCGGAAATATTAATAATACATCGAGAATCATTTTGATGCATTGACAGACCAGATTTACTTTACATTAAAACATTAAAAACCGCATATATGTGGAACATATGCATTCATTTCACCGCTACTCAAAATCAGTTCGTAATATAAAATATTTATTTTACATTAATCTTGGTTTAAAAGTTCTATAAATATTACTACATTCAATTTAAAAGTCAGAAGTTCGTCGTTTTGTTCAATATGCTGACGTTCGACCGCATTTGAATAGAAAAAGGTAGTTGACCCTAATGTGATTTGGTTTAAGATATGCAATAATATGCATTCACCTATGCAATTTTATTTTTAAAGAAATTCTTAGCTTTTCATTTCTATATATGATCATACATTGTAAAAGTACAAGTGGTATGCAAACAAATAATTTGTATTTGTCTACGTAAAAACGCAGCAATGTCTAATATAATATACATATATTATGTAAAATATCAGAAAATATTCAAACTAAATTATTATTTAAATAATTACCTACGTTGCCTTTAACCTAGAACTCAGAAAGAATAAAAAATATTAAAGTTCAATTAAGTGATTGATGAATTCCATTATCTTATATCATTTAAGTCGAGTGACACAAAATGTGCGCAGTTAACAAAGATATATAGATTATAGAATTTTCTAGATAAGTATAACAAGTTTTGCTGCGCAAATCTCATAATCTAATACCTTGTTAACTCAGTTTACGGTTTTTTCTATATTCTCTAATGTTAGCTCGCTGGATATTTCGAGGTCACTCTCAAAGTACCTAACGAGCACAAATACTATTATCTAGCTGTCCGGCATTAGTGATCAAAGGGAAAAAGTATCCTAGAGATACACTCTTGAGATAAAAATAAGCAAACACGTTTTCACATCGAAGTTTGCCGGGTCAGGTAGTAATAATTATTATACTATGTATATCTAGTTAAGTCTAAATCTGTGTATACAATCGTAAGCCCACTCGCTATAATATCGAAAATTCAATTTATACAAAGCTCAGACAGGTGGCGTCTGATTGATCGGCCGACCCAACGATAAGACGACTACGAGCTAATGAGCTTATAACGGTTTCTATATATATAATAGATATTTGTCTGTCTGCACATTTTATTATAGTCTAGATTTATATATCTGTAGTAGTTATCTTGTTGTTTATAAGCATTACATTTTCAAATAAAAATCTTGGGTCACTCTCGTAACTATATTGAGAACATCTCAACTAGTTTCGAGTCACAAAGGGGCTTGTTCTCATGAGCAGCGTGCGCAGTAATGTCCTAAAGTTGGCTGTGTGATTTCGTCGTGACCGCGTTCGTTATTATTTAATTTAATATATTGTCTCACGATAGTTATTATAAAAACACTAAATTTTTATTTAAATAAACGATTAGTAAAAACATTTTTTTGACTGCGTTCAACTGTAATACTATTTTTGTTGTTATCAGTACCTAAACCAATAAATGCTTATTCATCGTCAATGAAACTATATTCTCATTACAGTGCAACACGTATCTATTGATTTTAAATAGCATACAATCATTACTACTAATGACAAAAACAATATCAATTAATGAAATACAATTCTTGCAAATAATAAATCACTCCATATGCGCCTTCCTCAAAGGTGCGCATTATTAAATTGGGAGCATGTAGAGCCGCGGGTGATCGCGCGTTTATTAATAAGGAGAAATTGCTTCTATGAGGTATAGATTTACTCTATATAACCTTACCTAAAATTTTATATAACATCACAAGTGTTTCCTCCTAAACAGTTCAGATCAGGAACCTTTTGTCAGTATTATTATCATGACTCACTTGACTTAATATTCTGTGTCCCCTAGATGGTGCAGACGGTGTCCACTGAAGTTTTCCATCGCGATCTGTCTTGAGCTTCACGCTTCACCTTACTCCACGTCATACCGATGCTTGTCGCTTCTGCCAGTACGGTGCGACGCCAGGTTTGCCGAGGACGGCCACAATTTCTTTTCCCTTGGGGATTCCAATCCAAGGCTTGCTTGGTGGTTACTTGGTGGTTACTTTAAAAAAAACGTTGCCCCACATTAGGATTTTTTTTCTGTGTCGTGGGTGCATTCACAAACATACAAGTTCACATACACAATGACAGCCAGACCCGAAACAACAATTTGTGGAACCCGCGACACGTTGCACGGCAGCCGGTTGCCCAGCCTCCGCACCAACCGTGCAGTCAATTTTATTATATACTAGCTGTGCCCGCGACTTCGTCCGCGTGGAATTTAACAAAAAAAATAATTCGTTTATTTTTTATTTTAGTTATCATTTATTTTCAGTTTTTTGTATTAGCTTTATTGAAAAATTTCTTTATATACAATATTTGGTGTACGATTTTCTTGGGCTAAAACAACAACGCTACTGGCAT